GCGATAAGTCGAACCCAGAAGTTCGATTTCCAGCCGTCGAACTTGCCGGTAAGTGTAGCCAAGGCCTGAGGTATTATCCTCTTATTTCACAGAAAAGATCATCCGCAGCCAGGCTAAAATGATAAAGGCCATGAAGTCAAGTATGAAGTTAAATGCACAATTTCCCCAACTTTTTTTAGTTTGTTGGAGAACACATATAGACAAGCAAGACCAACAAGCAGAATCTACGAACAAAAACACAAAACACACTTTTCAAAAATTAAATCAATTCCCACAAGTAGAAATCATTATTTCACTATTGATGGCAGTTGGCATATAATGTTTTGTAATTGACCCCCGCCTTTCCTGGATGTTAAAAGATAGAACCTCCATTTTCTAAGCAAGCAGATCAAAAAGATAGCAAATAGTCTCCGCTGTCACATGTCAGCTGTCAGTCTCTAAGATCCTTCAGTTACACTTTAGGCTGGGGCATAGTACGGAGATAGCACTTGTTACTTTGGATGACCTATCCATAGCCAAAGGAATTAACATCCATACTTAACCTGCTGGACCTTTGTGGCATTTGGTATGATAGGGTCACCAAATGTAAGTGGCCTGTCTTCAAGAAGCTGTATGGTTGAATGGAAACATCCTGAAATTGCTTGGGTCCCTCCTTTCAAATGGAATCTAGTGAATCATTGTGAATTACTGGTCCTCCACCTTCACAGGGCTTGCCTATTGAGTCCCACAATGCAGGTATCTCCTCATCTTATTCAACATCTGTGTGAAGCCATGGGGAGAGCTGGTGAGACAACAGAGGCTGATGTGTGGATAGTACACAGGTGCCATCCAGCTCCACAGCCCTTTTCAATTAAACATAAACAGCACCGTTTCCCAGCTTTTTAGATGCTTTGCTGAAGTCTTATCACCTGGATGAAAAGCAGCTGGCTACAGCTGAACTCATGCAAGATGGAGGTGCTGCTATGGTATCTCATCGCCCATGACCAAGGGCATTTGCCCTTATATTGTAAAACCTGTGGTCCTCAGTGCTACTGGGTGTCTAAACAGCCACTTCCATCTATGGCAAAAGATTGTATCTCATTTTATCTGATACAGACCTAGCCATTGTGCTCTGCATTCATGTCCTCCTAGCTTATTTGTTGCAATTCATATCTAGGAAGGAAGCCACGTGCTCTCATAGCTACAGCTACAACTAGTACAAAACACAGCAGCCCATCTTAGCAAGGACACTGAACAAATCACTCCCAGTGTTCGTATCTTTTCATGGGGTTGGTCACAGCTTCTTGAGAGAAACCACCTCTCCCTCTTCGACTGACTTGCTGTCACAGCTATATTCTGCTAGTATAGTATAATAAGCTATTGACCACTACAGAGAGGCTGAGTGCAGGTGACCGAACTTCCACAGTTCTGGAGTCCTGAAAGAAATAAGTATGATCATGAAATTAACCACAAAAGTAAATGCAAAAAAAATTATTTTTTTTACTGTTTCCCTTCAAATGAGTTTTTTGCACATGCACAAAACCAACTAACGTAACCACACTATAATCAAGCTATTTCTTATATGAGATAAGGAAATAAAATTATTTCTATTTTTAAATACTTGAAAATTGGTCAGGTTTTGAGGGCTATATAAAAAGTACATAAGTAGTGGATGGGTTGTCTTTGTAAACATGTCCTAAGTGTAGATTTAATCAGAAAAGTGGGTATGTGAAAATGGCATCTTGCACAAAGAACAGTTCTTAGTCTATTGATTCTTATCTGCTAGCTTTGGCAACTAAGGGCTTGTCTATGCTTCCCTGTGGTTTGGATTGTGGGGCTGTGAATGACAGTGCACACCAAAGTGCTGAGCATTTAACTCCTCTGTATGGAAACTGCAGGCATCATAGCTCAAACCTGAGGGTACGTCTACACTACCCATCTTTTAATTTGTGCATGCAACATCCACACAGAGGCATTACACCCCAGCATTGTGGACAAGTATGGATCGCATAGTGTAGACGTGATAAAGTGATCCCCAATTGCTCTCCCGCCGACTACTGAACTCCAGCTCGGCGAGAGGCGGAAGCAAAGTCGATGGGGGAGCCACGGCAGTGTGAGGACGTGAGGTAAGTCGAACTAAGATACGTCGACTTCAGCTATGCTATTCTCGTAGCTGAAGTTGTGTATCTTAGGTCGATTTCACCCCCAGTGTAGACCAGGCTTTAGTCCTCTTCAAACAGGCCTACATTAATGAAAACTAGTAATCTTTTAATTTGTGCATGCAACATCCACACACAGGCATTACACCCCAGCATTGTGGTCCATACTGCCATTCATGTTCCTATAGTCTGAATTGCAGGGTAGTGTTACACATAGCTTATGTTTCTTCTGTACAGCTAAATGTGAGCTGGATTCTATTTCTTAGTGTGCATTAACAGAATCGTTTGTTACAATCAGCTATCCTTGTTCCAAAGCTACTGAAAACAGTTGATTTGCACATGTAAGTACTACTTTTGCCCTCAGTAGTATAGGTCTTTTTTATTTTAGCTGACGATGCATGAGAAGAAAAGGACCACTCTTGGCTCTTCAATTCTAGGCTGAATTTGCAGAAAATGACACCATTTAAAAAAACAAAAAACAGTTTTTATTTCCATTCTTAGATCATTAATTTGGAAATCAGTGACAAACTTGGGGAGTCACCAAAGCTATGTTTCGTCACTTTTTCAGAATCGAGTGGTACTTGTGGTTAATGCTGAATGAGAGGTACTTCCATTGTAATCTAGGAAATGAGACCACTTGCTGTATGACAGGATGCATCCGTGCACTGGTCATAAATTTCAGGTTTTGAGTCTTGAGTGAGGTGCACGTGAGTTGGTCTGAAGTAAGATGGTTCTCGCAAATCATACTTTCAATACTATACTCATTTATTTTCTCTGGTTTACCTCAGACACTGAATTACTTCTACATACAGATTTTCATAGTGATAGCTACATATTCTTAGAATAGTAACAGCACTACTACCTCTTGTGAGTTTTTGGGGAAAGTCTCGAGTTTTAAGGAAAACCACAAATCTTCAGATACTAGTCATTTGAGTGAGAATTTCAGTTTTCATTTTTAAAAAGTTTCTAGCCTTCATAGTTGCCAAGAAAAACATGCATGTTACCCCTAAAGGCTCAAAAAACAGATGGCAAGTAACCATCCCTCCCCACGTTTTGACATACAAATTGAGTGTTGTTTTTTTTAAATCATGAATTTTTAGGGCCTGACTCATTATTTTTGAAATATGGGGGTTGGTAATTCTGTATTAGTGCAATTAAATGCTAGCTAATAAATTACAGAACAGAGGTCTCAGCAATTGTTAA